AACGATCAAAATTCGAACTCACTGATTGGTTATTTCCTTTTTAGGAGTTTGTATTACTGGCACAAATAAGTAAAGCCCTGTATGTATCCCCTACCCTTAAATTAGCGATTTTTAGTAACTAAAATGAAAACTGTAAATGTAGTAATTTATGCGCTATTACATTATATTCAACCAATCAAATTGGCAAGCCATTGATAAACCACACATACGGAAAAAAATGTTACAATGAGATGAATAACAATGATGTATTTTTGTTTATTATAATTTTTCATTATATCACATCATTTTATGAAATTTTAACTGTATCTAATATAAAATCTTTATCAAATCATACAGAATCAAATATGCATTAGAGATCAGAATATGTACGTAAGTTGAAATAATATGCAGTAAATTTAATCGCCCATATTTGGTTGGTAATTCAGCCAATTTTTATGAGTCAAGCAATCATACAATGTCTTATCGGTATTGATGTGATTATCTTTAAAAAAAACAAATCAGTCATATAATAATTACAGCTATTACAAATCTTTTTATACAACATAGTATAAAGAATAACATATTCGGATATATACTTTTAAAAAAGTTAAATTAGGTATAATTAAAAAACTAGACTAGACTAGGAAATTGCAAAATTTCATTTTGATTTAGCTGCCCACATTACACCAACGCCAATGGCAACTCCAATTGAAAGAAAACCTCCAATCGTCACAGCTGTACTTTCTGAAATAGGAAATTGTGATTCAGTGGTTATGTTTGTGGGTATTTTACCACTTTCAACAGAACGAGAAACATTCAATTCCCTGGATTTTACTTCGACACATAGTCGAATCAATGGAGATTTTTGACTTTGACCTTTTGCAATTTCCATAGCGATTGCCATATCTTCATCAGAAGATAGTATAACTTTATCATTTTCTTCGTCGATATAGCTGATGGCTATATCAGTATTTTCGGAAATATTCATCTTTGACCGAACTAATTTTCTCAATTCAGTAAAGCTTGGGGTATTAGAAGTGAATCGATGAGACTGTTCAGAACCTTCGTATTTACACTTGTATATAAATTGACCGTCATCTAGCTTGAAATAATTGGAATTTCTACGTGAAAAAACACTTTCTGATGAAGGTGGAGTTAGAATTGAGGAATGAGGTCTTTGTTTTATTATTGGAAGGTCTATAGAATTTGCCGAGTGAAAAGTTTCATTCATGGGAGGATCTGATGAACCTTCGGATTTAGGATCTTCAGGTGTTAGAGTATTCCAAAATTTGTTCCAGACCGGACCACCTTCCACTTGTTCACCATTTAATGTTCTCAACTGAAAAATTACAGTTAATAATTAAATTGAAAAGATATTAAAATAAATATAAAAGAAATTAAAATAAATATAAAATATATTAAAAAAGAGAAATATACTAACAGTATTTAATGTGGAATAAGTGAGTTGTAAAACGTCAACCATCCCAACAATGATTTTTTTACCGTTGATTACAGGTAAATGTTGATAACGTTCATCTAAAAATTGAAAAAAAAAATATTAAAAAAATTATTTTAAAGAATTATGTAACAAATGACAAAAATAACAAGTACCTTGCATTTGACGCAGGGCTTGCAGGATAGTAGTATCAGTTGTTACTATATCCGGGCAAGGAGTCATCACTCTTACAATTGAAGTGTTATTTGGCTCAACACCTTGACCATAGACTCTGTTCACAAGAATGCATAAATCATTAACTAATTTGGAATTGTATAAGAAAGTATAGAATATAAGTTTTACCTGGTTACTATATCTTTTGTTGTAAAAATACCCATTGTTTTATTATGATTATTATCATCAACAACCAAGACTGCAGTCTGATGATGATCCTTCATAATTCGTGCAGCATCTCGCACACACGTTCTAATAGAAACTTCTGGTGGAGGTTTTGAGGGATCCATAATAGAACTTAGTCGAGGAAAACATAAATGTTGTTTTATAAGCGCAGCCATGGTTGAAAAATCAGCTTTATTTAAAGAATTTATGTCCGAAACATCTTCTAAAACAGCAAATAACTGTTTTGTTGATGCATGAGCTTTTTCAAGCCTTGCAAGAGCATGGAATAAACATTCGGTAATATCAAGTAATCCTATTATATCATCAGAGTCATCAAGAAGTGGCTATACGATATAAAATTAAATAAATTAAATAAATTAAATAAATTAAATAAATTAAATAAATTAAATCAATAAATTGTAAATTGTAAATTGTAAAAGTTATATAAAAATAATTACACACCAAATGTCGGTATCCACCTGAAACCATACGATTTAAAGCTTCAGGAGCATTAGAGGATGTTGTAATACAATCGGGATTCCTAGTCATTATTTCTGCGAGGGATGTTGCATTAGGATTAAGACCTTCAGCACAAACTCTGAACGCCAAGTCTTTGTCAGTAACGATTCCTATCAATCTTTCTAATTCATCTACAACAAGTACTGCAGTGGCTCTATCATATTTATTAAATCAATAAGAATTTTTTTGTTTTAAAAAAAAAAAAAAAAAAAGGTAGAGTATTAAGAAATGATATCAAAATTTTCAACCTGCTTACAGCCATAAAGCGTGCGGCGTCCATTACAGTGGCCGTTTCTAAAACATTAAAATATATAAATTAGTTTATAAAAAAAATTATACCTCCTTCCATGGGTTCTTCAGATTAAGTATAAGTTTAAAATCTTTAAATTCAAGATTCCAAGGGATAAGCCAAGTGCTTACCTAGTAAGGTTATTGCGGGGGAAGGTCTTAAGCTTCCAACAGAACCGGCTGTCTTTGGTATTTTATCGAGCGTTCTTTTCCCATAAAGTTTATTTGTTCTTGTAAGATCATGTTCAACTTTCTTCCTTATTTTCTCGTCTTTTTCAAGCTGTCTCTTTCTTGCCATGTCTTGAGAATTGTTAATATTCGTTGTATCGCCATTTTTTGCCTCACCACTTATGCGCTGTTGACGACTAGGAGGTGGTGTTCTCAATGACATTATTAAAAATTGAGTATAGTAGAAAACGGAGAGTTTAAAGAGTGAGAGTATGGTATGATATATATAGTAGAAGTTAAAAGAATGAATTAAAATATAAAGACCGAAAAAATATAGACAAACAAATAGTAAATAGTAGCGCGTGATTACACACTGGCAACGTTTTTATCTTAAGATTAACAGATGCAATACTTCAATATGTATATATATATTGTATAATGTACTTAATGTACTCTTAGATTTTATTAAATAAAAAATATATATTATGTAAATTCACACGCAAATACCAAAATAAATTTACTATTTATAAAAAATTTCATATATCTTGGTTGGGCTGATGGGTGAGACTTAAATAACATTATCTCGCTTTATAGAAGTATCCATACGTACATACATACATACTGATACGTACGTACGTAGGTACACGTACGACATACTCTAAGATATTGCGATTGTTACTCTGTTTAGTCGATACGATGAGATAATTATGAAACGTGGAGACTTTTATTAAGGCAAAAATCTACCGTTCTTTTAAAGAAATTAAAAAAAA